ATAATTAAAAATATATATATATAAGTGTGTCGTGTGTGTGTGAGTGTGCCGTGTGTATGTGTGTGTGTGTGTGTGTGTTTTAAGGTGTCAAAGTGTGTGTGTATGTGTGTAATGTAAGTATATAGGGGTGTGTGTGTGTTTAATATATCGTTAGGTGTGTGTGTGGCTGGTTTCTCTGCTAGAAACCGAGAGCGAGGTGAGCAAGAGAGAAAGGGGAAAAAAGAAAGAAAAAAAAAATAGGTGTTTGTTCCTTTGAGTCGAAAACAAGGAGTAAGAGAGGAAAAGAAAAAAAAGGTATGTGGAATTAAATTTAAGCTTTAGTTGTGATTAATTTTAGTATGCACGTATTTATATTTGTGTGGGCTATTTTAGTATGTTTTAAATTAGTAGACTGTTTTAATTTAAATACATGAGCTGTCTTATTTTAATTTTAATAAGCTGATTTAGTTTCATGTCAAAAAAAATTTTGTATGGGTGTAATTAAATATATTTATCATAATTAACGGACTGTTTAAAATAAGTTTCAAATGGGTATTAAACTAAAAGTGAGAAAAATGTGGAAAATGACTATTTGAGAAGTTCAGTATGTTTTTCGAGAGCTTGGTTGAAAACAAAAATTATGAGAATGAAATGGGTAGTTTAAAGGCTCAATTAGGGGCTGATTTGCATTGATTAAATGTGTATGTGAATTTTAATATAACGGTTTTAAAAGAAAAGAGCGATAGAGGTTGGGAAAGGGTACCGATAACGCCGAAACCTTGATTTCTAAATGTTATTATTACATGTGTGAATTTTAATTCAAATAACCTAAAATTTTGCATGCAACACTTTTAAATGATGCTTGATGTAATGTCTCCTTCGAATGCAAATGAGTATAATATTCAGTGCGAAATATGTGGAATGCCGGAAGTAAAGTTTTAATCCAATCTACGTCTGTGGACCTCACCTGTTGGATAAGGATGGAAATTTATTTTAACCCCTTTTTTTAGGCAATTCTTGTGAAGGCATATGGGCCCAACAAAATTTGTTTGCGGTTTTTTCAGCGACTGGATTTTGAGCATATTTGACTAATTTACCCTTTGCCCAATTCAATCAAAACCCACCTTCAGCGGCCGATGCAACTTGAAATTGTTCAGCAAGGGACTCCAATTCAAGCAATCATGCCAAATCGCAGAATGCCATTCAACAAAGCAAAAGTCAATGACTGAACATGCCAGCTCCTCTATAAACAAAGGTGCCATAGACTAGGGCAATCATAAACAGTTAAGATTCATTTACTCGAGTCTCTGTTATCCAAACAGCACCACCTGGTATGCACAGGCCTATGCTTCACGATACACATAATGTGCAAAGCTCTCGAGTAGGACACATGCATTCAAAGATTAGTTTGCTCACGACTAGCTTCACCACGTCAGCACTCCACATAACGTTCTTGTAGTGAACCCCCACATAACATTCTTGCAGTGAGCCCACAAAACATTCCTGCAGTGAATTCTTAGGACTTAAAAACACACGAATCCCATTACACATACATAATGAATTCTGAACTATCATTACAAAGACGTAATAGATTTACAACCACACAAATCGCATGAATAAATTCCTTCTCAGCCCAAGTTTAGGAATATAACAGAGAAATCAATGGTGGAATGCTTAACAAATGTGCACTGATCAAACCCAAACAAATAGAAGCGTCTACAGAACGATGTCAATTTTGGAGATTCACACTGGCTAAGATTGCTTAAGGGAGTTTGGCCAACGTGTTTTTAACTCCAATGAAGCATCAGAAAGCGTGCAATTATGACTGAAAAGGCATATTATTGACACAGAGAACAGAATTGATATCCTATGCATACATATCTCTGTGGAAAGCATAAATTCCCTCAGAATGGGGAAAAGAATAAAAAGAAAAAAAAAAAAGCAAAAAGTCTGTTATGATTAATTTGGAATTTCTTTTGGGTAGCATAGAGGAAAGGGCACATGTGGAAAACTTCAGATGATATTTCTGTTGTCATTGCAAAACCAGAAACATGTTCAGGCGGCCCTAGACAGACCAATACGAACATACCTGTAAGCCTGCCACAGCCTTGTGGCCCAGCAATACTGTAAAAGCCTAAAAGTACAGAAGGGCAAGCACTTTGGAAGTCAGATACAATTATTGAAAGTCACATGCTGTGCACAAGGGAAGTACTAAAAACTTGAAGAAATCCGCCATAAGTTGCCTCCATGCCCATCTATCGAAAGAGCCTTGGCACCGATCTTTTTGGCACCTTGCCTTCGAGTTTTAATCTTCTATATGCTTCTCTTACATGGCAGGGCCTTATTGGCCCAGTCTCCTTTCTCTCTGTCATGACCATTCTGGCTGCAAATTCCAGTGCCTTGATATAATAAGTATAACATGAAAATTTTAGTAATTTGCACCAATGGTCCATAAGGTCTGCCACTATTCGAACTTTGGTCCTTAAAATTTCAATTTCCACAATTGAGCCCTTAAAGTAGACACATTGAACTAATGTAGTCCCTGGTACTAAAAGTCGTTAAAATCGGACGGCAGATGACAAGTACCTGGCACATGAAGAGATTGAAGGCCATTTATGTCATTGTTCAAAGTTCATACAAACACATCTTTCTCATCCTTTCTTTTTTACAGAAGCACACAACACACTAAAATTCTTGTCCCCCAACCCCTAATTTTCTGCGTTTATCTCTGTTTCTTTCTCCAATTCTCATTCTTTGTACTCTCTCTCTCTCTCTCTCAAACACTAGCACACACAATAAAACAATAATTCACTGTGCTGCCACCACTCTATTACACACCTATTAACTGCATAATTCATGTACAGTAACAGACCGCCCTACCACCCCGTCTCTCACATACAAGCACACAATTTATCACAAACACCACCGATTATAGGCAGACACACCAAACACAATCCAACCAACAACAGTCAACCTTAATGCATTCAACCCTCTGCAATTTAACCCATTCAATCAGCCACACATGAACTACCACAACAACAGCCAAAACCCATAATTCAACCCTACTGAATATCAAATCACCACCTAGTTTAACAACGAAAACAAGAAATAAAACTGAAAATAGAGAGAAAAGAGTTTAGTCCAGATGGTGGAGTGGAACATGTTCGACTATGCCAAAGAGATAGGGAAAAGGATAGGGTTGGTGTGGGAGGGTCGTGGTGGTGCAGAGTGGAGGAGACAGAGAGTAAGAAAGGAGTTGCTCAACTGGGGAGGGGCAAAAAGAGAAAAGGAGAAAATGGGATGGGTAGGGTGGAGGAGGCATCATTGTGGAGAGGTGGAGCAAACAGGAAAAAAAAAAAAAAATATATATATATATATATATATATATATATATATAT